TATTTCGGTCATTCGGTACAGATTTTAGTAATTGGATGCATTCAAAACGCCTGTTTGGATGATGTTTCACAAATGACTAGTCCACTCAACCTCTCAGCAGCTGGAGTGTGCCGAGTGATGGCAGAAGCACGCTCCCGATATTTCTGTTTTCCACCCTCTTGGATGGGACCAGTATATTGCAAATAATAATGACAATATTTTCACCGTCAAATTTGTCGTAATCACCTACAAAATAGGTTCCTGAAAGCTGACTTTGCATTTTATTACATCTCCCCTCCCCCTACCAAAGAAATAATCACAGATCTAGATCAAAAGTTCAATGGCAGATATAGGAGTTTATGAGACATTCGTCCTTTTCAGCGCTGGCATAGACGCAGAGCACCTGCAATAAAAATGGAGTGTATGGTTTTCACTTTCTCTTAAGATTTTGATTGTTCAGAAACTGTTGTAAATATGTTTTTTTCAGAGGTGCAGAAGTAGAACTTTAAACGTTTACTATTACGTTTTAAATCATTTGTTCGATGCCATTGTCAACTGAGTTCAAAATATTATATTAAACAGGATTTATTGTTTTGACTTTCATTAGGTCTTTTCCTTAGAACTAAGAGAAAAGCATTCTCCATCTGTTCCATTCAATTAGAGTTAATTAACAGTCATACTTGAAACTGATTGACCACCACCAAAAACGACATTCTACTCAGTTTCGGAATGAGTTAGTGAGTGCAATCATTAAGCGCCTGTCTTCAGTGCGAAGGTCAAAGGTACAAACCTCTGATGGATTAATGGGCGTATACCGCAAGTGCTGTTGAAATGGAGGATTACTCAAGTACAACACTTACGAAGCGTACGGTAGCACTGGGGATTGCGCGTGAAAAAGATGTATGGATGATGGTCGGTCCAACTCAGTACCATCACTCTGCCTGTCTATCTACCGATCTATCTATCTATTCATCTATCTATCTATCTTGCATTATTATTCATCGTCAACGGTGAGTTTAATTAGAATTAAAATGTAGCTTATTGGACGGAATAGTGAAATGTTTGCCTGAACCTGTACAGAAGATTGAANAGATTGAAGTAAGTGGAGTTAGCCGATAGTCGACTCAGGGTGTCTCCAACCTTTGCCGTCAGGCCAAAAAGTCTATAAATATTATTGAAAACACCGTAGGAAGCAACCATGCATTGCGGGATTACTGGTCAGTTTCGGAGTGAGCATAGAGACAGCAGAAGCGTTCCATGTAACGGATCCGGAGTTCAACTTCCAGTGTGGTTGGAAATTGACTAGCGATATAATCTGAAGGGAGTCAGATTGAATTCTAAGTTGTACAGAATATTACACAAACTGGGCCTTTTGCGCAAGTAACACTCATTAAAAATAGTTTTCTTTTTTCGGGTACTATGGTTGATAGAGAAAAACGTTTGTTTTTCAAGTTGAGATATACTTGGCTATACTGATTCACTTCATCGGATGGTAAAATAATCAGATTTTAATATAATTTTCCCTTATATATTGATCTTCAAATTATGCGACACAACTTGAGCTTCACATTTATTAGATGAAACTTATTTAGAGGAGTGTTTCATTCGCTTTTCTTCACCATTTTGATACCAAGTATATCCAAAACAATAAACATGCCAAAATCGGTTCTAGTCTTTTCGTTCACCAGTTCGCAGCCACGGTTACGATCGATGTTAGAACAAGAAAGGAACAAAGCCCTGTTGTAAATTCACTCCTTTTGTCATTCAGGTGGAATATTGGAAGGAAGGAGAAAGCGTTCACAGCACCCAGATCCGACGCGTATTCAAATACACTGGGCTGTTTGCTAGAATCACATTGAGGCAGCTGAAACCATCCACAAGATATCGTATTCGGGTGAGTGCTTGGCGGTGGACAGCATAGAATTAATTGGAATGTGACTAAGTGTTTTTTTTTAAATTTTCGTTGTGTTTATTTTGAAAACGTCTTATCATAACTCGAGATGGCATCGTGAGCGTAACCTTCGAGATTACTTAAGAGTTTGGAATATACATGGTCAACTAGGCAAGCAATGAAGGAACAAACCAGCAAACTCTACAAAAGAAAAATAGCAAAGATTCACATAAGACGGAACTAATTAATTACCTTTATTTTAACATCAGCACAATAGGTGATGTAATGCCTACAAACAATAAAACCAATTACTTGTTATCATTTTATCCATAATGCGAGAGATTCTAAAATTTAACTTTTGTTAGTAAATATTATATTTTATCTTAACTCGAATAAATGAAGAGATATACAGCTGGATGTTTCCTAAATTTATAAAAGAAAGTGCGGTTTTCGATAGATAATTAACTACATTCTATACGTTTGATTATCATTTGTATTCATACTACTCATAATTTTTTTCATTTTTACTACCATTCATGGATCCTATAATGATAAAATTTAAAAAAAGCGAAAAGGCCAATAAAATGGCTGCCATAAAACATAAATGGGGTAAATCCAGCGTTAGTGGTGGTGGGATTAGAACACACGTTCTCCGGGGTGATAATAAGATAACATTAACACCTCCGTCCGACTACTGGGTAAGAGTGACGGGATTCAAAACAAGAAACTTTGGCCAAATGTAATAATGACGTGTGCAATTTGACCTGTATGAGTACAACTTGAACATTGTAATGGTCTCATAGCTTAGACGTTTGACGAGATGAGACGAATGCTGCCTAAATTATGCTTTCAATCAATTCAGACTTCCAGACATTCTTTTATTTTGGCTCATTTTCATCTTGACGTTTATACATATCATCACGCAAAGCGTCACTTCTATGTGACGATAAATAATCATCAAAGATTTTACTTGTATTCGCATCATTGATGCATTTTTCGTGATACCCGCTTGCACTGAATACAAAATGGAATATATTCGAAATCAGAACACCACATACCGGTATCAGTTTCCCTGAAAATCTCAGTGCACAACTAGATAATACAAGATTTATTTTGCACTCTACATGACATGCAACCATACATCTTTTGAACTTATATCGTGCAAGCTCATTCAATGTTAAACATTTAGTCCAAAAGAAATAAATTTGAAAAAAACTGTATGTGAATCAAAAAAGTACCGATGTATAATTTAATTAAAATACCCTCTAGGGAACAGCTTAGGCTGTCATCGTTTCCCGTTGCACACCCGTCACTTGCTGCTAACTGAATTATCGGGCACGAATTATCTGTGTTCCGTTGGGTGAAATTTATTCCGTGTATGTTTCGTTTTACTCAATCTGAAACTGGGTTGAATTCTTCAATCCATAGACAGTATTGTACAATAGCTCTGATAATCAAACCTCCTCCTTCATTTTTTACTATTGTGTTCAACACCAGTTACACAACCTGTTATTCCGATCAAACTGTCTAATGCAGACAGTCGCGTTAGTCAGTATTGAAGTTCACAATTTTTTTGAAGAGGTTGCATGGATTCAGGTGTTTTCCTCAAATTGCGAAGGTGGTCACAAATTGCAGCCGACCGGTGGATATGTCTGGTTCCTGCTAAAAGCGTCATGAATAAATAAAGATTAGTGTATCACAGTCGACACTGCCCCTACTACCCAGTTTACCCACGGGTTACTAATCACTGAACATGGAAGAAACTGAGTGAACCACTCATCTATTCTGATTGATAATACCGCTCGAATATGATGATTAGAAGGGAAAAAAATAAATCGGTATATTATTTTCAGCAATTCGCCTGTTCCAGGACAACTGTGTGCTTGACCACCATCTGTTAGCTGCCATGGTGATGTAGTCTGTGATGCCATCTTGTCAACCTGTGGATGGAAAAATATATACAGAGAGAGCTACATGAATGAACTGAAGCAGAACCTCGGACTGACAGTTGTCCCATAAAGATAATGGAACATTCCAATTCCAGATTGCAAAATTCGTTCACAGTCTTCCACTGAGTTCCCACTCTTCTCCCTGGGGGAACAAGAGAAACCGTCTTCATGCCCCTCCCATTTCCTATTACTTCATCTCTATTTGTCCACTTTACTCCCATGACAGTGCCACAAAAAGTACGTGTAACAACAATTAGAGGATGTTAGAAAAAATAAGTTGTGCACATGTGCATCACAGAACGCATTCGTGCCTGAAACCTTGCTGGGAAAACGACCGACTCGTCATGTTGTTTGCCATTCCCGCACTTGCAAACGCAAGACCAGTATGGAACTGACGAAATTTGAAATAATTCCAAAGACCTTTTCTATGTAAAACACGTGAAAAGGTAATATGTAAACTACATTATTACTTGTCAACTGCTCCATCAGTAGCTCCCAAAACCCCAAATTAGAGGCCACATTACCCAAGTAGACACTTGAATTTAGAACTACTGCAGATACAGCCAGTAATTAAAAATGACAGATTCCCTCGGATTGACTTTTAGCTTGGAATTCGCAGTGATGAAATAAATATTTTGATTTATGCTTTGAAGAATAAGAGTAGTATAAGTTCTCGGAAGTACAACCATATATACATATATGTATATGCATATATATCATATTAAGTAGTATGTGAATGACTAAACAAGATGTCC